GACCAATGGGTATCATATAAATGATTAACATTGTAAATAACTAAGTAAGTACTTCGCAATAATTTTTTAGCTCCTCAAGCATCATTCTAGGGTCTCAAGACTTGAAGGATACTGCCAATGTTGTTGCCTTCACATCAAAAGCTGCAAAGTTTTCGTGTCAAAATTAAGTAGTTCTAAACTATTTTACCAATTACTATGAGCCAATTTTGAATTCATAATACTCCATGCAAAGCTAAGAAGATCATTTCATATTTCTGTTTTGAACTTCTATAAACAGAATTCAGAGTTTTGTTCCCATCAGTCTTTCTATGTATATAATTCTTCTCTAGATTCTCTTTACCTACCTACTCCTTTTTTTTTTTTGGTAATTTAAGTGTTTCTCTTTAGGTAATTAGTCAATCCTAAAAATACTTCATATTGATAAATATTAATCACTCAAAAAGCAATTCTACGTAAATTGAAACACTTTTGATATATTATGTACTTCTAAATAGATTCAAAGCACTTTTGAAGTCTTCCGACCAAAAAACAAAGAAATTAATAGTCAAGCACTTTTTTCAAAGTAATTTTTAAAGCAGATCACATCCTTCCAAACATGGATTTAACTAACTCTGGTTCCACAATTTTCCAAAGTTTATTCTAATCAGATGCCGAAGAGATATATTATGGCATTAAAGAAACATTTTGCACCATAACAAGTACGAATTTTATATCAAATAATGACACACGTGAATTACCAATTTCCCAAGCGTGTTATCTTTGCTGATGGATATATTTGTTTGAAAGCAGCAGGAATGTTACCCGAAAAGGCTGGCAGAACTGGAAAGAAGGAAAAAGAAAACCATGGTCCACAGGTTATTCCTAGCATGAGACTTCTACAACTTTCGTCTAACAGATAGACTGTACGAGCTATAACAAATGTGCAAAAATTGAAATTCATGTGATCTAGAATTAAACTAGCATTTTGTTCAAATACATAGGCTACATTAGCTATAATGCTAAGCATAAATTTTGACATTTTTGTATTTAAAGATTAATTTCACCAAACTGAAAACAAGGAACAAAAAACACAAATTCCCAGGAAGATCCTGAATGAACGTCGCTGTAGAAAGCATCATTTCTATCTCCCTTATAAACTTAAATTACAGTTGTGTATTTCTTTTCTTTTGTAGAGCACAGTTACGAAAGCCAAATTATATTAAAATCAGAAAATAGTCAGCACCATTACTGAAAATTTTAAAACAGCAACAAAAAAGAAAGCCAATGTGAAAATGAATATTTAAATGGAATAGAATATAAAGTTTACTACAGCGTCATTTGCAGGAAATTTTGAACTTTATTGCAACAACACAAGGTAGAAAACAAATTGACTGACATTTGATGCTTAAAAATACCTGGAGTCATTCCTAGCTCAAACATTCGGGCAAGAACCTTTTTCTGCAGAATAAGTTGTTGGTCGAACCAACTTTGTGGCAGTGACCCACCCCATCTGATAAAATTTTTTATATTCAAAGGGAAATGATCAAGAAATTTTAAGATGTAAGATTTTTATTAGTAGAAGTAAAAGATGAGGTCCAATAAACATGACCCGTTAAAGCCACTTTCTACATAAATCTAATTGGACAAGGAAGATTATGAAGCTGGTTGTGATGATAATGCTATATTTATCATTCCATATTTCATTTTAGTCAACCATTGGAATAAAAAATCCATCTGACAACATGATCCATTTTAACGGAGTTACAAAGCAACTACTAACTTGTGCAAATTTCCCATACGTGACCATGCAAGAAATGCTGGACCTCCAAAGAAATCATCCAAATCCGTGTTGCTTATATTAAATTTCTGCAAATATAATCTGGAGTTAGATCAATCTATATTTTGAACCTCGTAAGTTGAAATAAGAGCAGAACCTGAGAAATTATTAGAGATAAGCCTTTTCCCTTTGGCTGCTTTATTACATAAATTGAAATGCAGGAAACAAGTAAAACTATAATTAATGGGACAGCTGATTCTTTTGTATTATAATTTCTGGAGAGAAAAAAAAAAGGCAGGAAAGCTATAATGTAACAATAGCATGATGAAGAAACCAGTGAATAAAAGAAGCTTATAATGTGGAAAAAGTTGAGATAGTGCTAGAAAGAATATCCAATAGCAGGAAGCAGCGAAGAAAATAATAGACTTATGATACTTTTGTGCAATTGGAGTAAATCTTTGCATCTATAATCTCAAGCTGCACATTAAGTAATATTGTTCCAATCATTATGTACCAAGAGAGGTCGGAAAGTATGGCCTCTGTAGGGTAAATAGACTTCTTAAACATCCTCCAACACCCAAGGGATACAATGTAGAATTATATTTGAGTTGGCGCTTGCTCAATATATCATTATGTTGAAGGGCAGTATGGATAACGATAAGAAGAACAACCAACCTGAAATACTTTCTGCCAGATAGCCTCCTGCCCAGTAAATGCTAGAGGCATATTGATACCCTGAAGAGCCATCCAGTCTATTTCCTTTTTCCATCTTTCCCAGTCCCACCAGGCAAAAGAGTCTTTCAAAAGCAAAGAAGATGAAAATAGAAAGACGTTTATCAAAACAGTAACCAAAAAACTGTTATTCGAGGAACACAAATTAGTTTAATGCAATTCTTTTTTCCTATCTAATGGCACATTGCAGCAAAATGAATGCAATTTCAAAGAAAACCTTACAGCTTGAAGTAACTGCATTTTGATAATAGTTCAAGGGAACAGGCCTCTGTACAATAATTTCGTTACTCTGAATACGAGGTAACAAGCCTGCCTTAGGTACAGAAAATAGTTGTGAGCCACCTGTTTTATCCCAAGATATGTGTGCACCGCACCAGTGCTTTAGATACCAATGCAAGCCAGCTAAAATCTCTACTCCAGTGACTCCAGCGATTCTAGCAAAAGATTGAAAGTCATGTTCGTGTTAATAAAACAAGTTCTATTTTGTATTATTTTGCAGAGTACAACGCGTGATGACTGATATCAATGAATCAACATTTTTAGTGCCGTGAACACACAATACTTCATTTGCAAAACAATAGAAGCTTAATCAAAGTTTAAAGAGCCATTTCATCAGTAGAGTCCAATTAAAAGGAGAATAAAATAGTTTCTACGTACAAAATTTCAGGATCCCCTGGTCTCCTGAACGAGCGATGGTTCCTGATCACAAAGCAAGATTCCCTACCACATTTGTCCTGGAAAAAAAATGAACAAATAGATAAACGGCAGAAGGATACACAGAAGCAGACTACACTTTAGAAAACGAGAGTCCTTTCATTTCCAAAAGATCCAAGCATCGGACAAAGCTATACAGATGCGCCGTCCTCGAACAAAACAAGTCAAACTCTCCTACGAACTCCTCCGCACTCTTCTCAGCAGCCAAACAGTGCACAGAAACTTTGTAAAACGAACAAGTACCTTAGAGACGATTTGAAAGTCAAAGCTGGAGAGGTGCGAAGGAAGAAGCCGACGAAGAACTCCACGAGCCGCAGCAACTTGGACATGCGCAGGCGCCCTCTCGCGATCCTGAATTTCCAGAAGCCGAGAAATGTAACCAACTCCGATCGTGGAGAAACGAGAAGTGGAGAAGGCCGCGAATAGGGAAACGAAGATGAGGAAAATGGCAGGAAAAGGGGAAGCCATAGGAACAGGAAAAGAGAAGCAGAGACTGGAAGTGGAAGAAGGAAGTAGAGATGAAATTTAATGGAGGAAATGGGCATAGTGGCGAGGCGATGACGTCGGAGGAATCTTGAAATGGCAATTGCTTTGATGAGTACCAGTGACTACCAGACAATGCCAATGGCCGGCGGTGTCTTCAGAGGAGAGTGGGAGAGCGCGCGAAAGCGAAACTGTAACTGATCAAATGAAATATAAATGTGGATGTGGGGCCTCTTTCGGGCTGGGCTTGGGCTTGGGCTTCCCTTGACGCAAAAGACGACTAATTTAGGGCTTCTTTTTGGTTGGGGATACAAGAAATTGGAAAATATAGTGAAATTACCCAAATGCACAAACGTTGCGTTGCTTGATGTGTTTATTTAACATTAATTTTTATTTTTTCCAATAATACAACGCCGAAAATAAACTTTCATATAGTTTTGCTGATTAATATTCACCCTGTGGCATAATAAAAGATTCACAAATTTCAATTACGGTTTTCTAAAAAACAAATACATTTTTATCCTGAATTCCATATTGTTGACTTTAAAATATGGTAAATCTGAATTTCGACCTAAACAATAATACTAAAAAAGTAAATTTTCTTGAAATCAAGAATTTTTATTATAATTACGAGCTTCATTTTTCAATTTTTTTAATGTATTATTGACCTAAGTCTAAATCTTAAAATAATCACAATTGTATGTCATTATCATGTCAATATATATTCTAACAATTCCACTAAAAAAGTATTACTTGTTCTCTTGAGATATAAGGTTCAAAAATCTTTAACCTTCGATATTTACCATACCAAAAACAAAAAAATATAAACGAGAAATGTAAATATATTAATATTAATGTGGGGGATAATTTACTCAAAATCGAATTATCCTAAAAAAAAAGTGAGATACATGACAAAACCAATTCCAAACTCATACGAAAAAGAAAAGAGTTAATTAAGATATAGAAGAAAACCTAATCTTCTTTAAGATTCGTGGAGTGGACAATGTGTCCCATGCTTCCATCTAAAAAGGCAGGATTATTTATTAAATACATCCTTTATTATAACTTAATTTATCAATCGCTCATTAAACTTTACTTGAAATTACCATAGTTGTCCAGCCCTTAATTAAGTATTAAGACAGATATTAATTTTTCACCAATCAAAGATTTTAAAATTTTAAACTTGATGACAACTCGATATTGTATGGTCATACAAATGTCTATATATATGAATGGACTCGTGACAATCCAAGCTACATATGAACAGTGAAATTAAATATTCCCTAAAGACTAAGCTAAAATACAATTTCTCCACTAAAAAAAATAAATTCACAATCTATAAATTTTACTTTATGGTTTTGGAAGCCATTAATTACATGTTTACAAACAGGAACAAAGCCAATAATCAAAAGCCGAAAAAACAGACCGAAGAAGGAAGAAGAAATCAAAACGGCATCGTATTAGCTGAGCTGGGATTTCTTCCACCGCCGATTCGGTACCGAGTTCGAGTGAGTCCACCCCAGTCAGAACTCGAATCCCCCCCGCTCTCGTCTTCTTCTTCATCGTCTCCGTCGAATCTTCCCTTCATCCTCTGCAAAATCATCTTCGCCTTCTCCCTCGCCCTCTCGCTTCCTCCGTCCACAATCTCTCGCAGCACCTCCATTGCCCTAGCTTCTTTCGCCAGTCCTCTGAATCTCATACTTCCGAAGCTGAGCGCGTACAATGCCGCCACGCAGTTCTCGCGAGTCGACTCGGAGTTCACCTCCTTCGTCCTCAGCATCTCCACCAAGCACCCGACGGCGTCGGCGTCCAGCATTGCCGACCTCCCCTCCGGGCACACGGCGATGTTGCAGAGAATCAGCAGCAGCCGGTCCACCGAGTTTCCCGATTTCACCATGGAAAGTAGAGTTGTCGCGGCGCCGAGTTTCACGAGCTTCACTCGGTTGCTCTGGATCATTGTTAGGTTGTACAGACACAGAGCGGAATCGTCTCGAGTCCGCTCGCTTTCCGATCGGAGCGCGTAGAGGAGCGGCTGAAGCGCGCCGAGGACTCCGATCGCCATCCGATTTTCGTCCTCCAACGCCAGGCTGAAGAGCGCGCCGGCGGCGTGTTCTTGCGACTCGGTATGTCCCCCTTTTAGCACGTCGATTAAGTTCGGAACCAATCCTGACCGCACGATCTTCACTTTGTTGCGCTTTTCGAGGGAGAGATTCACCAGAGAGGCGACGGCGTTGATTTGTACGGTGGAGTATCTCGATGTTATCAAGAGGCGGAGGGCAAAAAGAATCCGAGGCGTGCAAAGCGAAACCCTAATTTTCTCGTCGGCTTTCGTAATCTTTCTCAGCGAAATAACACCTTCTTCTTGCTTAAACACTTCAGGACTCTTGAGCTTCGACAATAATTCCTCCTCTTCTTCGGAGATCGATGAATTAGGGGCTAGGGTTTGGATGAGCGCCTCGTTTTCCACAATTTCAGAGGAAGAAGACGAAGAGGAATAACAAGCAGGTCGAGTGGTAAAGGGCAGAGGAGTTCCGGGACTTCCTCCGACGATTACCGATTCCTCCGACGAGCTCGTGTAGAAGTGATTGGGGCGGTGGCCCACCTCCGTCGCGGCGTGCGAGAAATTCACCGGCGGCAAATCCGATACCCCCTCCAACAATTCCCTATCAGACGAACCCCTAATTCCGGGGTGGGGCTCTTCCTTCTCCATCAATGCGCCAACAATCCTCTCTACGGAGCTATAATCGGGCGCCAGAGGATTCCTCGCACCGGATTCCTTACACCAATTGAGAATCGTATTTTTAATAGCTAAATTCGGAATCACGGTGGTGAAATCGGGCCTCGACCCGTCCTCTAACACAGGGGAGAACCCGAAGTTTATGCAAACCTGCGCAGAAACACGCTCGAAGGTCTGGCCAGAAGAGACAACAACCGGGTCCGCCATTAACGAACCAGAAACTGGGCAAAGAAACTCCTTAGGAGGCTCCCGCGATTCCATCGTCGAATTGGAAGAAGAACGACGGTGGTGGAAGGAGAATTTCCACCGGAACTTGCCATTGCCACCCATACATACACAACCACAGAACAGAAATGAATCCAAATCCACCTGCCCACTTCTGAAACCCAAATTCGGCCGGAAAATAATGGGAGTCGAATTGGGATTGTACAGAGATTAGAGAGACAGAGAGAGAGAGAGAGAGCAGGGCAAGCTGTACCTTAGGGCGTCCACTACACTACTGTGGTTTGCAATTGTTTTGGTGTGTGGGTCTGGTTACCTGATTGACCGGTCAACGGTAAGGACTTGACATTTTACTTCGTTTTTATTTTTATTTTATTTTTCCATGGTTTGAGAAACGGTCCACCCTTAGAAACCCACAGTTTGTTTTTTTATTTCGCTTCTTACTGGTCAATTTCTCTAATATTTCGAAGTCAAAAAAAAAAAAAAAACTCTAATATTTGATTCGGTTTAATTTTAAATCAGTCATATCATAGAAAATTTGTTGAATATGCAATTTTGTGTCTAAAATTTGTATTTTTAACTCATTAAATTACAAGTTTGATAAGTAAATTTTAGAGGGTTTTTAATAAATATTTGAACTTTAGCTTAAAAGGTGTTTCTAAACTTTTAATCCGGTATCTATTAGAATGGTGAATTTTCAATTTTGTATCTAATCAGTTTTTGAACTTTCAATTTTATCGAATTGAATTCCAAACTTCAACTTTCGTTCATTCACTCACTCATTTTAACCCAACAAAATATTGTAAAAGAACTAAAAAAAATCGCCAATTTAGTGAATTCAAATATTGTACAAAATTAACTTTTTCTTAATCAACAGTTAAATAACTTTGCAAACATTTATAAACTTAAACTAAAAAATCAAATCTAATATAATTTTTTTCTTAATCCTATAATTTTGTACCAAATATTTATTTTGTAATTCATTTGACACGTGATAATATACTTTCTACAATATTTCAATCGAGAATGTATCAAAAGGTAAAAATTACAATAATTTATAAAGTTTAAAGTGAAGATTGCAACATTCATCCAAGTTAAAGGTGTACTTTGACAATATTGAAAGTAAAGTTTTGGAGTACCAATTGACGCACCTTATTAAGTTTATGGGTTTTTTTTTCTTTTAAGAATTTTTTTTTATGGTTAAAATTAATAGATGCGTTCGGCCCAAAATAAATAATAATTGGGAGATGTTCTAAACTAAATAATAATAATAATTGGGAGAGAGAGTGAAAAATAAATTCATACGTGGCACGAGGGACCCACGTAATGTAGTGAGCAAAATATTCTTGTCCTCTAGAAACGGCACAAGCAATACTCTGCTTTTGGGATTTGAATTATAATGTTCGTCACACACAATTCCATAAATATTTATTTATTTCTTTTTCATGGAACAAAATTGGTCATATTTTTAATTCACACAAATGGCAAACACACTTCTAAATTGCAACAAACGGATTGGTTCTATTGGTCTCCATTTTGCTGCTTCCTTTTTATCTTCGTTCTTTCTTATCAATCCTAAATTTCTACACCCCTATTAAGATTTGTATAGTTTTTTCTTTTTTAATATATATTTATGTTTTATTTTTCCAATTGATGATGTGATTCAATAATAGGAAGGTAAAAAATGAGACACGCCTCACATGGGGTGCATGCCATCATTTTTACCGCACCAGGAGCTATGATTTATGGACTGCACATACTACCAAAAAAAAAAAGATATTTATAATTACCTTTTTTATTATTTTTTTTTTTCATATATGGTTAAACTTCAGTGACCCTTTGGATCTAATTATTAGAGCTATGTGTTATTGAAAAAAAATAATAATAAAATGATGGCAATGGGTTTGTAAAATCACACCACTTAACATAAGAATTAATTAAACGGTACACAAATATATATATATATCATCTTAGGCTCATTAATATATAAGCTTAACTTAATTAGCTATTCATCTTACTCCGCAAAAAAAAAAATACAAAAAATACAAAAAAACTTTAGCTATTCATCAGTCCAACAAATAATCATAAATATGTGTGTACAACAAGTATTGAGGATGTCTCAATTGCATTTTTTTTTCCTTTATGAATACAACACTTATGGATTTGAACTCACAACCTCATGGTTGGAGGTAGATAGATGTCAATATCGCTGAGCTAGCTCAGATTGGCAATGTCTCAATTGAATTGATTATATTGCATTGTAAATTTGCATAATTTTATAGTGCAAAATTTGATTCTATCCCAAATTAAGCTATAGATCTTAAATAACCATGGTTTAAAGCGAGTATTGATGACTTATAAAAATGTAAAATACTTTTTGGTATAAACATTTATGCATTTAAAAATAATTTAAGTGCTTATAAAAATTATTCTTAGAAATTTTAAAATCATGTTTGGCTTAATCAAGTAACAGTACTTTTAGCTATATATGTAGCAAAATAATCCTAAATATTATTGTAAATTCGAGCTTTATCATATGTATACGTATTAATTAATTACGTTACATGAAACTCAAAGTTGGATTGTATATTATACCAATTGGGTTGTTATGAAGCTTGATAACTGATAATTACTTTATTGTCGGATCATTTATGGTGATTTTTTTAGATGTGTCCGTTTACCAATTATTAGGTCGTTAGGCATAATATTTAAGTTTAATACATGAAAGATAGTGCATGCCTCTTATTTGTAGGGTACAAAAATACAAAGATGGAACATGGCGGGACACTTAAATGATTAATTGTTGATGATTTATCATACAAATTTATTATGGTTTGGTTTCGTGTTTTTCCTGTCTTGTGTTCAAGTTAACCTATGATTTCTTATTCTTGTTTCTCTACCTTATGAAAGAAATATAAACGTGTTTATGACATAAATATAATTAATATTCAAAATTTAGTATATCATTGATAACAATGTTGCGTTTGCAATTTATAAGTGAAAAATTGTGAAAATAGCCATTATTCGAAAATTAGAAGCAATAAATATCAAATTTTTTAGGGGAAAAAAACATTTTGCACAAACTTTTGAGGAAAAAAAAGGGAGAGAACAAAAACGGAGAAAACGACCACGCGAAAATTATATCATCAATTGATTATCAATAACAGGGAAGAAAACATTTATGAAATTTTTTTTAACGGATTATAAATATGGACTATGAATCGAATGTCTTTTCGTATGGTGACAAAATTATGAATTTGTTTTATCGTGAAAAAAGAGACGTAACCAAATGTAAAAAAGACAAAATATTTAGAAACATTCTGCCAGCTAAGTTATGGGGCTCCTATTTATACTGCATGAATAAGTAGAAAAGAACTGAGTGTAAAATTCAAAAATAGAGAAAAAAACCCACCTAAAAAAATTTACTACGTGAAAAATTAATTTTTCAAATAGATTTTTCTCTTTGATCCCAATCATACAAAACATCCCCTAGTAAAACTTTAGTAACCGAAGCACATTGTATTTTTATAGAGCGGGACAACGAATTTTAATTCTAATATTTTACTAAAGCTAAACTATCAATACACGAAACTTTAAGTCGCCAACGTTAGATAAATTGTGGTTGCTATTTTGTCAAGGTAACTCGTAAAATCTTGATAAATTACAACTTTGATGTGAAATATTGACCCTAACTTATTTATTCATTTTGCAAAATTGATCTCACTTAAAAAATATATAGAAAACAACTCGACATGGAATAACGTACACCTCGAATTCAACTTAATTTAGCTAACCCGAGTACTTTATTGGTCATGTCATATTAATCTATAGACCATATAAAATTCGACTTTAAATTCAACACATAGACTAGGTAGTACCACGGTAGAATTTGAACTCATTAGTCCTACGTTTAAAATCTACAATTTTAAGAATTGTTAATTCAGCAGTCGCCAATGATGTGCTTTTTTTCCCTCTAAAATGACAATTAATTGAGTTTTGGGGCAAAAAAAGAAATGTAGACAGAAGAAAAGCCATATGAGATGGGTATTATACAATTGACTAACAAATTCTGATGAAGATTCAGATATGATATGACCCTCAAGAAAGAGAGAGGGTAAAAAAAAAGTTGATGAACTTTTACTTCCATTAAGGTGGTCATCCCAAAAAAGAAGAGTATTGAAAATGAAAAATGCCCCAAAATCAAAATTAGGGCCTTTTTCTTAAATTCAACACGGAAAAAATATATATATATTCAAACCTCGATCGCACGTTCTATAAGATTCTTCAATTCTAATTTTTGAATGCCTTGATTACTCGATCATCGAAATCACTGAATCTCAATGCATGAGTGATGAGACAGAGACGACAGTTACAAATTTCACAGGCGTCAATCAAAATCAAAACAAAATTCACATCTGCCTCGCGCGTTTTACTCTATTATATATCTGCGCGTTCGTTTGCTACGTAAATCAATGAACAAAAAACCTAGAGATCAATTTCTTCCATGTGTGTGGATAAAGCTACATCAAATAAATAATCGAGAGAAACAGAATGCACATGTACAGTGAGTGACAGACTCACAACTCAGGAAAAAGGCGAAATCGCGATGAAATCGAAAAACAAAACGTTTGACAGAAATGAAAGAAAGAAATTAGATAGGGATTTAATTTTTACTTGAGTGGATGCATGTGTGAAGAATGGGATCGGACCGTGAAGCTTGATTCCCCAAGAGCAGTCGACAGATTCATCGATCGACGATCGACCAGCGCTCGGCTGATTTTGAAAAATCTCCAGAAACGGCCCCTAGGGCTTTTGTTTTTTAGGGTTTCGCCGGAGATCGTGATTCGTGAGAGAGGAGATGGAAGAAAGGGAGCGGCGGAGGATCTGGAGAGATGAAGAAGAAGGAGCAGGAATTAATCATGGTAGAAGAGAGAGAGAGAGAGAGAGAGAGAGAGGAGGCATGATGATTGCTATTGTTGAAAGTTGGCTTCACCGATCGAGCACCAGCTGCCTCTCTCTCTCTCTCTCTCTCTCTCTCTAGGGGAAAGAGAGAGAGAGACTCTCTCTCTCTTCTCTAATGGGAAGAATTATCATGAAACTTTACAGTTGTTAAGCCTTCTCCCATTCCCAATCTCCTATGCAACACAATTTTCTTTCTTATCGTCCTTGATAGGGATGTTATTCACTGGTCGGGTTGGCTCGGATTGGGGTATTTTTGAGATTTGGGTTGGAAATTTGTAGGAACCATAAAATGATGGTCAACCCAACCCAATAAATTCGGGTTGCATCGGATTGGGTTGTCGGGTTCTTTTTTTTTAATTAATTAATTAATTAATTAATTTTTGTTTTGTTTATAACATGGACCAAAAAAGCATTGAAAAATCAAAATCTAAGCACAAATTCAAATCCTAATTTAAACCAACATGTAAGTCTTAATTTAATACAAATTTTAAAATTTTACATTATCCAAAGCTTACAGCTTATTATAGAGAGATGAGGGAAAGGAAGATGAAATTGAAAATGTTAGAAAAGAGAGAGAATCAAACATAATATCGGGTCGGGTCGGGTTGACCCGAGATTTTCATCGGTCAACCCAAGACCCGACCAAACTCGGTCGGGTTGGGATTTTTCCAATCCAGCCCAACCCAATGTTAGATTCAACCCAATCCAAGGGTTGGGTTGGGTTCGTCAGGTTGTCGGGTTCCTTGAACACCCCCTAGTCCTTAATCAGGAACGCCGCCCCTCTTAATTCATTTTTTATAACCACGCCACGTGGCCTATACCAAAGGTTCTTTATGATCAAAACTCTCTCCAGCCACACGTCGTGTGGGGCTTGTATTGGGGAGGGATACTCTCATTCGACCACAAGCCCACTACACCACCATTTACTGGTGGTTCCTGACCCTCTTAATTTATTTTAGATTACAAAAATTATAAATAAAAAATTTCTCTCACGAAGTTTTATTATCATTATTGTTGACGCAATTTTTGGGAACCTGGTTGGATTGGAGGTCTGAATTACTCGAACCAAACAAGCCTGCGTGGATCGATCACCAAGTGATCAAGGAGAGGTTTAGTCTAGCTAGGAGAAGTCGTGACCCGATTGTGTACAGAGGAATGACGAGATCTTGTTGTTTGGAAGATCAAAGAAGTTGATAGTCTCCACGAGATCTTGATTTTGGAAGTTGAGGCGAAAGCGACCTGTAAAAAGAGAATGTATGTCAGTATGGTGCCAGCCTTCCACACTCCAAGTCAATATACGAACTTGAGAGAAGATAAGTAAAAAGTGACTTAAGAGGAAATGAGGTACATTAAAAGGTTAAGAGCCCTTTCTATTTATAGGAGATATGGTAGTTAAGTGCATTGTTGATGAATGTATTTGGTCACGCAAGGGTTGCACAAAGTCGCTATATGGTCTGTCTTACACGTGCATGGTCATGGTCGTGCTATGGCCATGCTATGTGCATGACTACACTTCCCACTTGGTTTGTGTTGTTTTCCTCTAACCCAAGTCTGAAATAGGTCGACAATTATTATATGCTTACTAGTTAATTTGAAAACATTGTTTGGAGGGAAAAGTAGATATGAATTATTAGAGTTTTAGAGTTTTTTTCTCTGAAGGATAAAACATTATTTTGTAATTGTCGGATATAGATTTGAATATTTGACATTATGAAGTAATTTTTAATATCTTAATCATTAAATTATATTAATGTTGGTAATATTAGGGTTTAATGTTGTTTCAAAGTACAAATACTATTGGTTGTATTTGTTTTTTTACAAGTACATGACTTATATATGAGAGAATGTAGCCACAATAATCAGTATATAATTAGCTTTAATAAAATGATGGGAATAAATTTTAAATAAATAATTTTTAATCATAACAAAGCATGGCTTCACATATATAAAAATTAAATATAA